TGGATCATATTCGACCGAGATAATCAACTTTTAAAAGTGTCCGAAATTCGAGTTTAAGTGTCCGAAATTTGAATCGGCACGGTACACACTGAAAACGAAACTAGCTCAGAAAGTGAGTCACTTTTACTCAGATTTGAGTCACTTTTACTCATGCATATGGAGCCATGTCTAAATGCGTAGGTCACTCTGAGCATGAGTAACCTATACTTTTAGAAATTCCCCCATACGAATGAGTAAATGTGACTCACTCTCAGAGTAAGATTCGTTTTCAGTGCAGATAAGGTTACACAGAATACAGATTTTTGAGATTTTATGAGATGTGATTTTTTTTTTTGGTAATCAAAATACGCTCTAATGTCAGAGTTTCAAAATCTGTAAAAGAACTACTCTGTAAAGGGACCCCCTGCCGGGATCCCCTACTTCAAACTCTGTAAGTTGGGGGTGTTCCCTTGGAAGCTTATTTTGGCTTCGCTCGAAATGTTCTTCTGCCTTCTCCCACCATTTTTTTTTCAATCTTCCCCCGAAATATTGTGCCAACGCTAGTAGATTCTTCTGATTTCCATCGATAATTTCTTTCGACTGCTTCCAAGTTTTTTCCTCAACTTCTTCTAGAAGACTCCCGAAAACCCTTTCGCTTTCGCCGGAAGAAGCTTCCGGCTTTCTCCAGAAATTTATTCCAAACTACTTTAGGAAGTTTCTTCCGTCTTCTATAGGAAGTTCCTCTAAACTTCTACCCGAAGTATCTATCGAATTATCCCAGAGGTTTCTTTCATCTTCCTCTGGAAGTTTCTCCACAAGCTTCCGTCGACTTCTATTGGAAGGTTCTCCCGAGCTTCTTCTGACTTCTCTGGAAATGGCTTCTCCTGGTATTTTTTCCCGATTTATGAAACCTTTCTGGCTTCCTATTTCATCATTATTTTTCATGGAACTGGAACCGGATGTTTTTCCGATCTTCATTAGAACTTTCTTCAAACTTCCTCCAGAAGAACTTCTTTCTTCTTTCTCTGGAAGTTTTTTCGGCTTCCTTCAGAAAATAATTCAAATATTCACCGGAACTTTCTTCCGACTTCTTCTGGAATGTAGATTAGAAAACGGCAAAAATATAAAATCAATTAAAACAGTAAATACCGATAAAAAACGATTTTTAAACCTTTGATACCGTGTAACGATCAGAAATTTTGTATAAATTTGTATATAATTTGATAATGTTAAATTGTTTGAATTAAATTCCTTAGGGTAGGCAGTAGGAAGACACAAGCATTTTTGCTGAAATCTTTCCTAAGACGGGTCCATTTAATTTATGGATAAGGTAGGAAAGGGACAGTCGCGCAATTAAACGAGCCAAGTTATCTTTCGTGTCTTTAGATTCACGATAGGACACGAAGGGTTTCGGGAAATTCCGTCCGTTGGGGGGAGAAGTTGCTGCGTTTGGGCACGGTGAACTTATCTGATTTTACTCATACAGCTTAATCGAGGACAGACTCGTTGACGAGAAATGGATGGAACACCTCCTACTCGGACAAACAACCGCAATCGCAGGCCACTGCCGCGCCGCGACTACGAGCGCATGAATGCGTTCAATGATAGAAAAGTCACCAATTCTGGAACTCCACATTGGGAAGACATATCTGAACCACTAACTCACCTTCAGGCTAGTGAGCCAAAGTGGAGACAGAACCAGTAGAAGAAGACTCCAAAGCCAGCCGATCCAAGGAGTGCTTCTAGCAATGTGCTGAGACGGTCTACGACACAGACCGAACCACAGGATGAAGACCTTTATACTGGTGAAGTTCTGGTAGCCGTACCGATTCGACATACAGTATGTCAGAACTACGACTTCGCTAGTTTTTCAACTCTTCTTCATTCTACCTATGATCATACACGTGCAGTCGAAACGCGTCTGGATCAAATGTGTCCGTTTCCTATTTTTCAGCATTCAATGACTGAATTGTTGAATGCTAGACTAATGTCCATTCAACGTAATGATTTAGCGCATGCTATATATGCGGAACTCAAGGGAAAACAGTGTCTACGTGCGAAAGTCATTCGAAAGACAATCGGGCAAAATATTCGAACTCGGGAAACTAGGTAGGGAATGTGGAGCAGGGAACGGCAGCATTCCGGCAATCAATGTTCCTGGAGGATCGAAGTTGGTACCGTTTAGTGACCCACTTCAGAACGTTTGTGAGGTTAAGGTTCACACGGACATGTGTCAACACGTATCGGTGAGGATCTTTGATAAGGACTACGACGCCCTTCTAGACTCGGGGGCAAGCGTAAGCGTAACCAGCATGATGGACATAGCGGAGAAGAATGGACTGACTTTGCATCAGAGTCCAGTTAAGATCGTGACCGCAGATAAGACGGTCCACGAAAGCTTGGGATACGCGCAGTTACCGATAGAGTTCCGGGGAGTCACGAAGGTTATTCCAACGTTGATTGTACCACAAATCGCAAGGAGCTTGATCCTAGGGTACAAATTTTGGAAAACCTTTGGGATTCAGCCGATGATTAAGGGGACTGACGGTTTTGAGCAGATTGCGACGGTAGAGACGACAGTAGAGAGAGATATGAACCATAAAGACCGTAGCCATCTACCAATCCTACCGATCGAGACGTTGCCCGCGCTAAAAGGATTGGAACCAGATGATACTCTGGATATCCCGGCATTAGAACTTCCGGAGCCCTCGAGGGCGACGCCAGAGACAGTGGAGATCGAACACGAGTTGACGCAAGAGGAAAGAAAGGCGTTGACAGAGGCCATCAAGACTTTCCCGTGTACTATGGAGAACCGGCTTGGAAGAACTTCAGTCATTCAGCACGAGATTGTCCTGAACGAGGAAGCGAAACCGAGGCGTCAACCGCTCTACCGGTGTTCACCAGCCATACAGGCTGAAATGGAGGCAAGGTTTGAGCGTTACAAGCGGTTAGATGCGATAGAGGAGTGTGCGAGTGAATGGGCTAGTGCTCTGGTTCCCGTTCGTAAGGCGAACGGTAAACTACATGTATGCCTAGATTCTCGAAGGATAAATGCACTGACTAAAAAGGATTCCTACCCAATGAGGAATATGGGCGAGATATTTCATCGTTTGGGAAAGGCAAAATATTTCTCGGTGGTGGATCTGAAAGATGCATACTTTCAGATTCCCCTGAAAGAAGAATCACGGGACTACACGGCCTTTCGGACTCCGAAGGGACTGTATCGCTTCAAGGTTTGTCCTTTCGGGTTGACAAACGCTCCATTTACTATGTGTCGGCTTATGGACCGGGTCATTGGGTTCGACCTCGAACCCAACGTATTCGTTTATTTAGACGACATAGTCATCGCCACGAAGACTTTCAGCGAGCATGTGAGACTATTGCGGATCGTAGGAGAAAAACTGTCTAAAGCGAACCTGACGATATCGCTAAACAAAAGTAGATTCTGCAGGAAACAAGTGACCTACTTGGGATACCTTCTGACGGACGAAGGCGTGTCCATCGATAACGCTCGGATAGCGCCGATTCTGGACTACGCTCGCCCGAAGAACGTGAAGGACATCAGACGGCTACTGGGACTGGGAGACTTCTATCAACGCTTCATCCGAGACTACAGTAGGATAGTGGCACCGATCTCGGACCTGCTTAAGAAAGCAAAGCAGAAGTTCGTTTGGACAGACGCAGCAGAATCAGGGTTCGGAGAATTAAAGGCTGCCTTGGTTTCCGCACCTATTCTAGGGAACCCGGATTTCAGTATACCATTCTGTATAGAATCGGATGCTTCAGACCTCGCTGTAGGAGCAGCGCTGATTCAGCAGCAAGACGGACATCCTCGCGTGATAGCCTACTTCAGCAAGAAGTTGAGTAGTAAGCAGCGGAAGTACTCGAGCGTGGAGAAAGAGTGCCTTAGGGTATTGTTGGCGATCCAACATTTTCGTCATTTTGTGGCGATCCTTAAACCAAATTTTCGTAAACCGCGCCTGGTGTAATGTAACGATCAGGAATTTTGTATAAATTTGTATATAATTTGATAATGTTAAATTGTTTGAATTAAATTCCTTAGGGTAGGCAGTAGGAAGACACAAGCATTTTTGCTGAAATCTTTCCTAAGACGGGTCCATTTAATTTATGGATAAGGTAGGAAAGGGACAGTCGCGCAATTAAACGAGCCAAGTTATCTTTCGTGTCTTTAGATTCACCATAGTACACGAAGGGTTTCGGGAAATGATGAACTTCCGGTTCGTCCGAGTTTTACTTTCCTTTATCTGAGGATTCACGGTCTCGATCATTTCGTCCGTGACTTCCCAACGTTCTTGAAGTGTGCGCGTTTGTTCGTGGTCGTTTTTCCTAGTTAAAGTATGTTATTTAAAGTGATGTCTAGTGTTTAAAATTAATTAAAGATTTTTGTTCGTTCCTTTAGCTAGTAGAATAAGTGTGCGTGTAGAAAATTGTGTGTGACCAGGAGAAAGGCTAGAGAAATCTACAGGTAATTTTTAATGTGCTCAATATGTGTTGTCCATGTCCGTGCTCGTGCTTGTGCTCACTGTTCTGGTGTAGTCGTGTTAAATCGTTCGCAGCAATTCACCGTGCCCAAACGCAGCAACTTCTCCCCAACGGACGGAATTTCCCGGCAATCGCCAACCGGCCGGAAGCGGACGGATCCGTTACGTAATCGGTCCGAGGAGACTCAGGGGATCTCCACGTGGACACGGTCCACCCGCCGGTTCGTCAACCTACCGGCACGGCAGAGTAACCGCCATCGCATCGGCGTGTGAAACGCCATTGTCAGCGAAGCACCTCCATTCATCGGATCACCATCGACGATCACTAAAGAGTGCGTCGAACCCGTCGATAGGTCATCGACTGTAAATCAACATCATCTGGTGAGTCAAGACTTTTCTATTTTTGGAGTGTGGCGTCCGGCGAGGGCGCCACGGAGTGATTTTTTGCCAGTCTAAGACTGATGAGCGAGTAGCGCCGAGTTTCCGTGACACGCTTTTCCGGAGCTCGTGATGTGGCATTCCCGCCTTTGAAAAGGTCCCCATAAATCATCTCCAGTCAATCCGCAAGACTTCTGAATTAGCTCGAATTTGCCCCACAGGATAAGGTCTTCGAACAAGCCGCTTGAGATCACCGGACTTGTCGTACAGGACCTTTGGAGATGTTATATCCTCTGCGCTTATTTCACATGATCTCTACACTAGAGAGGGTCTAGTATAAGAGAGTAGCGGATTGGCCGGTTTTTAGTCAACGGAACTGTCAAAACCAGAGCCAACCGATCAGCACCTATCTTGATTGCATTGCCAGTGTTGCTAGATACCACCTAGGTATAGGTTGCCAACGCAGTTTGTTTTGAATCCGCTCCTCTCTCATACTATGTCTTTTGCATGTTCCATAAGACATACTGGCCTATGAGTCACACGGTCCTTTGAACTTTTTTTTTTGGATTAACCATCGTTCGCTGCTCCGTAATCGAGTGCTAATCACCGACCAGCGTCGATTACCAATTGAAGATTAACCACTGAGCGCAATCGAGTACAATTATGGGCGCTCATTTAAGGGGCAAGGCGCATGGATTCGAGCTGGACGGGGCACAAATATCAGTGAGTAACCAGCTCTAAAATTACAGCACTGGACTACACTTATAAATCAAGACCTCAAAAGATGTTCCACAAACTATCCGGATTCATCGTACAAGGCGTCTGAACTTGATATCACTGGACACTGGATACACACTCGATGGAGTTGACCCACAAGGCTACTGACCTCGTTTCCCTAGTCATCTGAACTAGTGTCTCACACGGGCCCTCAATGTGATGCACAAGTCTTCTACATTTTTCGCACAAGCCTTCATTAACCTCAAGGCATCTGATCTTACCTCTAAAGGTATGGGAACTTAAACCGCTAATCTATCTTATAAGACTATTGAACTTTCCTTATGAGTTAACTGCGCGCAATAGTACCGAACTTGTTCGACATCTTAAAATTTGTCCCATGAGATCACCGGACTTGTACTACATACTCTATGGAGTTGTCCATAAAGGCTTGTGAGCTTGTTTTACAAGTCACCTGGGCGTGTCCCCCTCAAGGTATCTAGACGAACCTCAGAAGGTTTGTGAAGTTTTTTTCATTCCTTTATTTAACGTCGGTCTCTGTTCCGCAATCTAGTTCCAATCACCGACGGACATCGAATGTGCAGGGAGGCAGCTTCCACACCTGCGTGGGATATCGCACCCATTCAACACACATGGACCAGGACCAACGGCTTTACTTCCCTTCCAAAGGAAGACATGTCCAGAGATTTTTATGCCTCAGAAAAATCCCACCGACCTCGGCTGGGATTGAACCCAGACCCATTGAGGTGAAAAAGCAGTCACGCTTACCACTCTACATCACCGGCGCCGGCGGTTTGTAAGGCATCTAACGTGTCTCACAAGGCTTGTGGAATTTTATCTTAAGTCATCTGTCCACAAGAATTCAGGACTCGTTATATAAGAAATCCGGTTTTATCCTACAAGACCTGTGAACGTGTTCCATGAGATCTCTGGACTTGTGCTACTAACTCTATGGAGTTGTCTCACAAGGCTTCTGTGTTTGATTTACAAGCCACCTGGACTTGTCCCACACGGCCCCTGAAGCGTAGACCTAGAGTCCTCCAGATGTACCTCACAAGGCCTTACGTATGCTCCGCGCGTACGACAAGGCATCAGGACTTTTCTTATAAGTCAACTACTGACATGGTTACACAGATATCCGGTTTTATTCTACAAAGTTTTCGGAATTGTTGCACGAGGTCTCTGGACTTATCCCAAAAGTCATCTAGATATATTCTGCATTGCCTCTGGGCTTGTCCCACGACGTCTGTGGGCTATCCGCCTAATTTATCACAAGACCTTTAAATGTATTCAACACGGCCCCTGGAATTGACCCACAAGGCCTCCAGATTTACGTTATAAGGCTTTCCGCATCTGGGGCCTTACCTCAGAAAGTCTATGATGCTGTTGATGATGATTAAGCCTCTGCCACTCACGTAGCACGGCGCATGCACATATAAATGGACTGTCCTAGCAGAACGACTTGATCAAGCCCCTCTAACAAAATCACACTCAACTTGTCGCTGTATGAAGGGCCAAAAACGGAGGAGTGGACCCGTAAAATCTGCAGTTGGGGATCCCACTCTTTTGGGGACTTACCTTAGAAGCTGCATGGACTTCAGCCATAACATAAGGTCGCTAACGTGTCTTGTGGATGGTGAACATTTCTGAAAAGTCATTTGTCTTGTTCCATAAGGTTTCTATACTTATCATTCAAAGTCTCTGGACCTGCCCACAGCACCTCTGTGGGCTTATCGAGACTTGGCCCACAAGGTTTTCAGATTTATTCAGGGGCTCTGGGCATGTCCCATAAGTCATCTGGACCGGTTCCACAAGGCCTGTATTATCAGTGGATCATTTCAGTTCAGACTTCATTTTCAAGTCGCATCTATGGTCAATAATCAAAATTTTACGATAGTTCGAGAACGTTTTAAGGTGGTTCCTGATCCGCCAGCATGTTACACATCAAATTCCATTTCCCGGCAGCCAGCAGGGCGCTCCAGCTCCTTTCCAGATTTCCCTAGTCCCCATTGCAAGGCTTTTTCTTGGAAGCCTTCCGAGCGTTTTTGTGAACATCTTTCTTTACGAAAGCAGATATAATTCTCAGTTGAAGTCTAAGGGCTGAAAAGGTACTTGCATTCTTTAAGAGGTTTGAATGAGTCCATAACTTGTGCAACATTTTCCATATATTTATATTAGAACAAATTTTCAAAAGGGTCGATTTATTTGCTTATTTAGACTATTGTTTATAACGGAACTATAAAATCAGACTAGACACAAAGACAAATGCCGACATTGTGACTTCTCTCACAAGTTCTATTTCGGTTTGCATTTTCCTCCATGTAGTTGACTATCCAACTAAAAACAAAACCAATCAAGCTTGCAAACTTGTCCCCCAGAGAAAGAGTTGACCGACAACCAGCCCCCACCAACCCTGTGTACTCAACTTCGTCCGATCCGTGCCGTGAATCGCTACCTAATCGTACTTTACACTTTTCCCGCACGGACGCCACACCGACCGTCAGTGGATAATTACCGGACTCGGCTGAACACAAACACCAACCATGGGCGATTCATCCCGTTCGTTGGAAGCTGCTGCAGCAGCCGCAGCAGCCGCTGCCGCTGCCCGGCCCAACCCCTTGGAACTTGCACTACTACTACTACTGCTACCACCGGCACTACTGCCGCTACCAACACCACCACCACCGTTTCCACCAATTGCTCCAATACCGCTTAGAACTGTCATTCCGCTGCCGTTGCCTCCGCCTCCACCTATGTTGACTAGTGAGCTTGGACCAGCAATCCCACTACTACTGCTAACTCCACCACTACCGATCGGACCAATTATCGATCCCATCGGAACCAACCCCAGCACTCCGTGGCCACCGGTTGTCCCTGAGTGACCCATTAGCAGCGCTGCGTCCGTCATCGAAAATGGCGCATAGCTTGAAACGCTGTGTGATAGGAGACTTCTACTACCTCCGCCTCCACCGCTACTACTACTGCTACTGCTGGTGCCTCCACCGACGCCAGGATGACTCGTAAAGCTAACGGACATGAGAGCGTTTGCTGTGTTGGCCGCCGCTGCTGCCTGTGCCGCCAACGACGATAAGGACGACGAGTGAGGGTCAATCGTTGCTGCTGCTGCTGCTGTCACCACCGAGCCACCGTGAGTTAGACCCCCTAAGTCGATTGGCAGTGATGCGGGGGCGTAACTCTTGTGACCCAGCAGCGCATGCGGTTGTTGTTGCTGCTGTTGCTGATGCTGCAGGTAACGATTCCGATGGTAATGGGTGGGATTCGATGAGGCGGTGAGGACCGTATGAGGTGGATCACAATCCATTGCCAGGGAGTTGTTGTTGGTGTTATTACTATTGCTACTACTGCTGTTGTTGCTACTGTTGTTGATGGATGGCCCGGAACTGGAGTTGTGACTGTTGCTATTAGCGCCGAGACCGACGGCTGCCGCTGCCTGCGACAGAAGCAGCATGCTGGTGGATTGTGATTGCGATGATGATTGGTGGTGTTGCTGCTGCTGCTGTTGTTGCTGTTGCACCGACTGAGGCTGATGTTGTAACGAAGATAGACCTGCGTCGGAAGAGAATAATTCGAGCATTAGTCTCGGAGTTCGGAGTATTGGGAAAAGGACATAGAACAATGTGAAATAAAGCAAAACAGAACGAATAGAGAGGCATGCAAGATGTTTTTTTTTTTTTGCTAGGCTCGAGGAAACTTTGCTGAATGCTACTGAACTCTTCAAATGAGTTTTGGTATTCTTTAAAAATTTAAAAATTGAATCTTGCATCCTATTTTGGGGAGTAAAATATTTTCACAGAACCTTAAGGTGATTCCTTGAAGAGTCCAAAAATGGCCGTCATGATGGCTGATAAGTTTTATCTCGGACAGTGCTGTGACATCGCTTATAAAATTGGTTCATTGCAGCAAACATGGAGTTCTAGTTTCATTATTGTATGTTGAGTAAGAGCTGATAATTGTGCTCCTGAATATTCGAAGCGATAATGAGATAAATCAGCAATAAGGTACCTTAATAAGGCCCAAGGCAGTAGAAGGGCGGTTAGCCATCACTTCCTCTCCAGTTCAGAAAATATTGAGGATACATGTTTTCAAAAGCACAAATCACGCGCAAATCATCGTCACGCATTTCTTGTTCTTATTATTTATGCAGGAGCTAACTCGAGATGAGAATTTTAAATTTAGCAAGACAAGAATATTGGTTGAAGTACCTTTCAATCAATATTCTTGTCTTGTTCGAACTAAACTAGCAAACTTATCACTTAACAGATTAACAGCTTATAAATAATAAATAAATTAAAAATCTACAATGACATACAGTAACGACTCGATTTTGCCAGCACTCGATTTGAATTCTTTTTCTAATGTCCTACGAAATCCATGCGCTTTTCAGTGGTATATTGCACCAAAGTATACCTTCAACAACCATTTTGAAGATGAATGAGAAAGATTACGGTTATGTGAAATTATTAAAAAATAAAAGTAAGGTGCGCGGAGGGGTTGACAAAATCGGGTCATAACTGTACAAACAAACTACTTCCTCAGGCAAGCAGACATAACATTCGGCATAATTAAATCATTCATCGTTTACTGATTTAACAGTTTCTCTTTTTTAGGGGAAAAATAACCCGTTTCTCTAGCAATTAAAATTTAAGTGTTTCCAAGGAGAGAACTGTGTATTAGACTGATGCAAAATTTGACTTTTTCGCTCCACAGTGCTTAAATGGTTTCAAATCGGGTCCTGATTAGCCTCTCAAAATTACAACTCATTTGGTTAGAAACAGACTTCGCACAAGCCATTTGAAGTTTACATGTAAATTACTATAGGAAATCTCAACTTTTTGTTCATTGCCTTCTAGTCTTTTTCCATATTAAGCTGCAAAACAGTTCGATAGCCATTCTTATAGAAAATTGTCTCAGCTACAACTTTGCTCAAGACCGTTTCTTTGTAAAACGAGACAGGAAAAAGTTATTAATTATTCAAGAGTTTGGTAAACTTATGACATGATCAAGCAGCTGCTGTGTAGGCAACACTGTATTTTGCAGTAAGACATAGTAGCCAAGACTTTTGTGTCCTATTCAACGCCCCAGAAACACCAATGTTGCCTGCTGAGCAGTTGATTGAGCATGATCATAAGACATTAGCGCATTGAACCATTAATAACTTTCGATACTTGCATTTAATCAAAAAGTGATCTTCAGCAATGTTGTAGCTGGGAAAATTTCCTACAAGTACAGTTGAAAGCTTTCGAAGCAGACCGATTTGGTGAATTATTAGATAGACATGAACAAAAATCTTGGTTTTACCATAGTAATTCCCATACAAACTTCAAATGGTTTGTGCCATCTCAGTTTCTCACCAAATAGGTTCAAATTTTGAGAGGTTAGTCAGGATCCGATTTGGAATCGTTTAAGTATTGTGGAGCGAAAATTTCAAATTTTGCATCACTCTACTGTGTATGTATTCAATCTACTTGGCACTGCCCGGCAGTATACCTTATTGAAGGAATGTCAATTGCAAGCAGCTTTAGTCCGAAGGATAGAATGTGATAGCTCTATTGCAGATCCAGTGACCCATTTCAGAATGTCTCGTAGATAACTGGTTTCTAAGGAAAGGGCTAGTTCAAAAACAAACCTCGGCACTTCGGGTGGGTTTCCGTGTCTATGGTGGACAGCAAATATATAGAAGGTAACTGTCTTCTGCAAAGCTGTGCAGGAAACCAATACGTTCCGGATGGTGCATCAGTTGAATTCATAATGACCTGACTACACATTTCAGGGACTATTCGTTAGACATACATACATTTGACATAGTCATTCCGTATAATACCGTAAAAGGCGATTATTTTAGTATTGTACAACAATGACAGTAAATTTTATCTCTATTTGGCATCTCAAAAAAGATGAACAGATGGGATATTAAAACAGTGGTATACCACAATAGATCAGATTAATGGTCATCACAGACAAACAGACGTAACTCTTCAATCTGGATCATCGTTCACGCATTTGAAAATTATCATTTCCGCGAACTACTCACCGCAGCGCTACCATCGGATCACTTTGACGTTTCTATATATTATGTTTACCTTGCATGCAATATTGTTTGCGACTTTACGAGCAAGTTTGTTTTCCACAAGAACCCCAAGAGATGTCGTTGCTGAGTTCCCATGTTTTGAGGTACTATGTTTTCAAGAAAAACTTATTCAAAGAGTTACGTCTGTTTGTCTGTGCCTTCACGGTGTGGTATTTTGAAACCTCTTCTCATAACTTACTGACATGACATCTAGTGATTTTGTGTTGTTGTAATATGGGTGAATATCTAGTTTATATGATTTGGGCGTTTACAACCAGGGTTACTTCCATTCACTGCTATAAAAAAAATGTTTTTTCTGAATTATAAAACCATTAGATGTTATACAGAAACACTGTAAAATAAGAGACCAGCGTGTCGTGAACTGACCGAGGTTGCAAGTTTCGGCCATTTGTCGCAACAAAGACCATCCGGAAAGCAAATGCACAACCGTGCGCAACAAGATTGGTCAAATGACTGGTTCAATCATGCAGAAGCCGAAACACATAAGTCTCGGCTCGTTCACGCGTGCGTATGTGTGTGCGTTTATTTAAATCATCGTATTAATGCTCCACGCTAACTTAATTCTACTCAAATTGAGAATGGCGTTACTCGACGCTCAGCGTTTTAGTTTTAATGCATTCATATTGTATTGTTATCATGTTGATTATTATTATTATTATTCCATACCAAACACTATCTACCACACAGCGGAGACACTGTTATGATTCCAATCGAACTGTCAAAAGCGGTTCCAATCTGCAATGTTTACAAATGGTTTGCTTCAATTAGGGAGGAGTATTAAAATCGTTTAATAATCACTCATGAACTCGCTCATCGGTGCATTGGCGGAGTCACTCGCAAGCAGTTACAAATGCAAGTCATGCCAGGATTGCTTTGATGTTTATCTTGTTGCCAAATTCATGTTTTTTTCTCTCCACTGGTCTCTTATTCCAGGGTTTCTTATGTTATAATGATAATTAGTACTTGTAACACCGACAAACCGACATGACACTTAATTCTGACTTATGCCCGAAAATCGTAAATGGCCGATTTAAATGTGCAGTGATGCGAACTGTCAAAAACCATAGGATTTTTAATCTAGATAAAAATAGTTTGTCAAGAATAGATCAGACACGAACCAATTCATAACTTTTGCATGCGGGTTCATGGCTTAGCTAAATATATCCCACGAACATGGAGCCAGATGTTAGAAATTTTATTGTTTTTGCTATGGTCATTCATGTCGGTTTGTCGGTGCTTGTAAGTCACAAGAAGAGGTCGTGAAGTATGTGTTTGACTTATAAAACCTGTCAATATTGCTTTCAGTGCGTCACTATCAGCGATTTAATGATTCATGAGCGGTCATTCTGAGTGAACGCTCGCGGATCATAAAATCGCTGATTGTGACGCTCTGAAAGCGAAATTGACAGGTTTTATGCATCAAACACATACTAACACCCCCTTCTGGTTACTTACAAGTACAACATATCATTACATCATCTAATTACGGAAAACATTGTTTTATAGCAAGTGAGTGGAATCAACCCTGTTTACAACCCAGCTTCTATTTCGTATTCCAACTTCCGGTTTGCAAAAAAGCATCACATATCCCGTAAGCAGTATTTTTAGAACAACGGTGCGACTCTGTAATTTTTCACTCCTATGGTAAAATCCCATCAGCTTCTGTGTGAAATATGGCGGGCTTTGTTTAAAAGCTGAATAAGCAAGTAGTTAGCTGGAGAAGCATGTTTCTGTCGGAATAAGTTCTTATTCAGCTTTCAATGTTTGTCGGGCGGAAATTGAAGTCTGGTCTGATGCTATTTTGAAATTCAAGGTGGTGACTTCCGGTTTCCAAAAAAGCGTCAGCAACTTTTCAATTAGTATTCTCAGAACAGGGATTATTAGTGGTACTTCCTGGAAGATTGTTGTACATCGTTAGTTGCATGATTCAAGCAAAATTGTGGTCTGTAGGGATGAACATACAACAAGCTAGGTTTTCCCATATTAGTTTCCATACAAATTTCAAACGCAATGCGGAAAGCCGGGTTACAACCAATCGTCCCCAAATTTTGCAGAGTTGTTTGTGACCCCAAATGGATCCAAACAAGGGTTTTTTCTCGCTTGATGAGGTTAAGTTTGTGTTTTTCCATACAACGGTGACCCACCCTAATAGTTACAGTACTGGCACCGTGATTTTTTGTCTCTCCAAAAAAGTTCAAAAAGCTGTTACTTTCCAGTTTGTATGGTGGATCACAACCCACTGCTCTTCCGATGTGTATTGAGGTCACCAACAACGGTGCCAAATTTGAACGAATTTGGTTCTAATCTGGATTTGCGGTAGAATTTTAAATTTTGTATCGGAAAATGTATGAGAAACATGAGTTTACATGTAACACTATTTGATATTACTAACCGCACCGAGCGTTCATTCCGGGTGGTGAGCGAACCTGAAGAAGAAGAAGATGACTATACAGGATGA